GTTCTCAAATGAGGAAGAAGATGAACAAGAGAGTAGAAATCATACCTCAATAGAGAATAAAAACCCTTGAAAATGGATGAACTAATGAAATTAAAGCAATTAAAACACCCAAATGCAAGCTCATGTGCCAAATTCAGAATACCCAAATGTCAAGAACAAATGAAATTTTTTAAAAATTTGGTTTAAAAATCCAGAAATTTGTTCTTGAAATTCGAAAATTATGCTTGTTTTTTTTTGTTTTAAAGATGCAAAAATGTAGTGATTTGTGTGGATTAAGGTGCAAAAAATGGTGAGAAAATGAAAGAAAAAGAAGGGAGGAAGAAGGGAGGAGAGAGAGAGAGGGAGGTTGGGGAGAGATAGGAGAAATGAGGGGGGAAAAGGGGGGCATAGCAGCTGCACTCACAACGCACCCAGCCTGTTGTGCGTGCGTGCAGGGGGGTCTGCGCGTGCGCGCGGCGGGCAGATAGCTTGGCTGGTACACTGCTTGTCGGGGGGCTGTGAGGGTAATGTGGGGTGTGGCCGAGTGATGCGGTCACGCTCAACGGCGCTCTTGACTGCTGTGCTCATGTGATGCCCACGAGCAAGGCAGCCCATAAATCACAAAATTCAGTTGTTCATCATCAGAATCAATGTGAGCGCAACCATGAGATCGTCCATATTCAACCATAAACTCTAAACTTCTAACTCAAATTGCAAACCCTTTAAACCTTCAAATGACACCAAAATTGCTAGAAATCGAAATCCAATTAATCCAATTGTTCTTAAAATTAAGAAAATAAAGAAAATTAAAGAAATAACCAAAACTATATAAGGAAGAAAATGAAGAAAAATAGGAAAAAAGGGTTAGAATACTGGGTTGCCTCCCGGGAAGAGCTTGTTTAACGTTAATAGCTTGGCGTTTCCTCTAAGTCACGGAGGGTCAAAGAAACCACCTTATCCAAAGTGGTGGAGAGAACAAAATCATTTCCAAGCTTAGGCAAAAATTCATCACAAGATCCATCATGGTGAGACAATAGAGTCGTATCAAGGATATTGATCTTCAATTTCTTCTTTGAACTTCTTTTCTTTCTTGATTTCTTCTTCCTTGGGGCGAGAGACTTCACACCATCAATACTTAGAGAACCTTGCTCATCATCCTTCAACGAAAGCTCAAACCATAAAGGTATTTCAAGCTCGTCCTCATCTTCAAGATTTGAGGGTTCTTTGACATCATTACTAACCAACTTGCTTTCAACACTTATAGGAACATCATCACAAGCTTAAAGAATGTCGTTAGTAGAAGACACAAACATGAAAGCATTGTCACTCAAAGGAAGTGAATTTATCACATGATTCCTTGCAAGTATGATAGAGACTCATGCATTGACTTAAGCTTGAAACTAGCCTTACTATTACCAACACATAAAGTAATGGTGCCGCCTTTCACATCAATCAAGGCATCTGACGTGGCTAAGGATGGTCTCCCTAAGATGATGGGAATATTGTCATCTTCCGCAATCTCAAGAACAATGAAATAAACGGGAATGGTAAACTCTCCTATCTTGAAGGGACATCCTCAATCCTACCCTTGGGAATCTTAATGGAACAATCGGCCAATTATAGGGTCATGTTGGTAGGAGTATCTCTCCTAGCTTAAGCTTCTTGAAAATGGAGTATGGCATGATGCTAACACAAGCACCTAAATCACAAAGAGAATTTTGGAACAATTTACCATTGATATTGCAAGGGATGGAGAAATTCCCCAGATCTTTCATCTTTGGGGGTAGGTCATTATGGATAATAGCACTACAACACTCCCCAACATTCACCGAATCAACCACATTGCACTCTCTCCTGCCACTCAAAATGTCCTTAGGGAACTTGGAATAATTGGCATTTGTTTCAAAGCATCAGTGAAAGGAATAGAAAGATGAAGTTGCTTAAGCATCTCGATGAACCTCCTAAAATGTTCGTTCATGCTATGCCTTGGGGGAGGGGGTAAGGAAGTTTGGGTTTGATAACCTCATCTTGCATTCTATCTTTATCCTTGGCCTTCTCATTGAAACTCTCACTCTTCTTGCTAGACACATCATGCTCATCATCATCAAATGAATCACTCACCTTCTTCTTCTCTTAGACACTCTCTCCCCTAGTACCTTGCCACTTCTAGTGGTGATAGAGTAAACTGGTTTCTTGGGGTCAAGACCTTGGGTGGGTAGAGGAGATGGGCTTGTACTCTCTTTCAAAGCGTTGGCTAGTTGAGTGATTTGGGTATCAAGCTTCTTGCTATGGGTCATCATCTCATTGAACTTTTTTTCACTCACGCCCATGTATGTAGTAAGCAACTTGGTTTGGTTCTCAACAATTTCTTCCAAGGTAGACCTAGAAGAAGAGGATAGTGCATAGGAATTATCTCCTTGAGCTTAGGTCGTTGGAACAAAACCAGGAGGAGGGACTCTTTGTGAATTATTTTGAAAATTGCCCTTATTTTGGTTGTTCCAATTAACCCTAGCTTGGTTATGATTTCCATAACCTTGGTTTTGGTTACCATAACCTTGGTTATTATTGTAATATAGTTTCCTTGGAAACCTTGGTTTCCTTGGTTCCTATAACCACCGCCTTGGTTATAGTTGTCAAAATTTCCTTGGTTGTGATAATTCCTATTCCCTTGGCCTCTTTGATTATCAAACCTTGATCCATTATTGTTAGACACATAGTTTACATGCTCATTCTCATTACTATCAAAAATTCTTAAATGAAGGAGGGCACATAGAAGAATCATGCTCATAAGAACCATACTCATCACAAAATAGGCATCTACTAGGCATATTATTAGAGGAAGAAGGAGGAGTAGGGTTAGAAGATGTAACTCTCCCCTTAAATTGGGAGGGAATATTTGGTGCTTGGGTGGTAGAACTCTCCAACTTAGCTTTGATCGAAGACATCTCTTTCCCAAAGCTTGATATTTGTGAAGACAAATTGTTGATGGCATTTAAATGATGGACGGAGTAGACCGAGAAGCTATTCTTACTTGTTGACTCCCTCTCACCATCTTGCCAATCCATGTAGTGCCTCACTACAATCTTCAATGATATCAACAACTTCTTCCTCCATTCGATTCATAATAGGGCCTCTGGCACCCGCATCGAGATAAGACTTGCCTTGAGGGCTCAAGCCCTCATAGAAGATTTGAATCACTTGATAAGTTGGGATTGCATGATGAGAACACTCTCTTTGGTACTCCTTGTACCTCTCCTAAGATTCATAGAGACTCTCACTGGGCTTTTGCTTAAAGCTTTGAATAAGAGCTCTAGCTTCAGCCGTCTTCTTTTGGAGTAAAACCTAGACAAGAACTCCTTAGTGACCTCATCCCATGTTCTCAATGAATTTGGCTTCACCTCCTTATCCAACCATTCTAAAGCCCTCCCTATGAGTGAGAAGGGGAAGAGCTTTAAGCGAATGAACTTTTGATTCGTGCCATTTACCTTGATTGTGTTACAATACTTCTCAAACTCCTCAAGATGATTTAAGAGGCTCTCATGTTTAGCTCCACTGAATTGTCTTCTTTCAATCAATGTTATCATGGCCGGTCTGTGCCTTTGACCTTGATTGTGTTACAATACTTCTCAAACTCCTTAATATGATTTAGGAGGCTCTCATGTTTAGCTCCACTAAATTATCTTCTTTCAATCAATGTTATCATGACCGGTCGAATTTCAAAATCATTAGCGGGGGTTGTAGGTGGTGCCACTACAAGAAAAAGTAGTTTGGGTGTTAAAATGAGTATTTTTAGAGCCACAATTAATTTTTCGTGGCCCATACTTATCTTTAGGCGTCATTTATTTTTTGTCGCCCAAAATTTAGTAAGGGCTAGGGGTGAACAAAACCGGGTACCCGATCATATTCTCAAGACCAAAATCCGGAACCAGTTATGATCGGGTCCCAAGAATTGGAACTGGTTTTGGAACCGGTTGATACCGGATCCAAGTTTTTTGGAACTAGTCTCGGAACCGGTAGGATCCGGTTCCAAAATCGGGTACCCGATCATATTCAAAATAGTAAAATAAAAAAATAAAAAATATCGTCCCCCACTCATGGCCAAAAACCATCCACAAATAAAGGGTCAAATTTATTTCATTCCTTCCAGTATTGGCTCCGATCCATCAACACAACGCCGTGCATCTGTAATTGTGGCGGTGGAGGTGGTGGATTTTGGAAGGGGTTGAATGGATTCCTCATAGAAAGAGGTTGAGCTTGAGTAACCTGTGTTCCTTGAAGTGGGCGAGGAGAGTATTAGTAACAAGATTAAAAATTAAACAAGTAAATGATGCGAAATCTCTAATATACCTGTAACCAGAATAATTTCTGTAGGGAATGTTGAAACGACACTATATCGGAAGCAAAGAAAGCTTCTTAACAGATACCAAACCATTGATAGGGATGTGGTGATCACCTAAATTGTGAGATCGTAGAGTTAAGGAGGAAGATGATAACATTGATGCTGATGAAAAAGAGAAGAAGATGAAGAGAAGGGAAAAAGGAGAGAGAAAGTAGAGAGGATAGAGGAAGGAGCTAAGGAGGTGGTTGTTTTATGTAGGGTTGCATTAAGTTTATATATATGGGCTCAAAAAAACATAATATTTATGACTGAACCGAGTACCTAGTGGGTACCGGGTCCGAAATTTCAAGACCCAGTCTTGGAATCGGTTACAACCGAGTACTACATTTTTGGACCCGGTCCCGAAACTAGTGAGATCGGTTCCAGGTCCGAACTCAGCGGGTCCTGATCGATTCCGGGTCCGGTACCGGGTACTCTGGGTCTTTGCTCACCCCTAGTAAAGGCTACAAATTTAAAATCTGTTGCACAATATAAACAATGTGCTACGTAATATATTTATGTAGCACATATAATAGTTTTTGTGCTACAATTTACAATATTGTGTGGCCCAAGCTACTAAAAAAAGGGGCCACCTTTTCCCTCTTGTCTAATTTCATTCCTCTTAAATATTTTGATTTCCTACTCAAAATACTAACTTTTTGGTTCTAAAATCAAAATACAATAAAAAAACCAAAAAGTTAAAACCTTTTTTTTATACTTCTTCATACTGATCTCCGGTTAGCTCTCTTTCTCTATCTAGTTTCATTGTTTATTGTACTAGAATGTTCAAGAAAACAAAGGTCAAATTTTTTGAAGCCATTGCTTTTTTAAATACTGTAATTTCCTACTCAACTAGGTAACATTATATGAATTTTATTTTTTCTTTTTATTGGGTTTCTTTAATTTGACAAGTATAAGGTTTTTTTTTTTTTTTTTTTTTTTTTTTTTTTTTTTTTTTTTTTTTACGTTTTAGGTTTAAAATGACTAAGTTTTTTTTGTTTTAAGGTTTTGTTTTTGGTTTTTTGACTTTCTGATGAAAGATACTAATATAATTTTAGTCCCACAATTCCTAATTGCAAAATATCCTATTACCTTGATTTATTTGGGGAAAATCGCTGAATTGTTGGATTTTGGGACTATGGGCTATTAGCTTTGTCTCTAATTTGGCATTTGGTCCGATTATTTTTTGTTAAACTTTGATTTCTGGAATTAAATTGGCTCTTACATATTTATTTGCATTTGTTGGCTTGTTGAAGGTGGTGTGTTGGTTGCGGGCTACTACATTTGCGAGGTGAGGTGACGGAGCTAAGTTGGGTATTATTATTTGTGTTGTTTTGTGTCAATAAACTGTTGTGTTGTGTTGTTTGTTGACGAGTTAAGGTGAGGGAATTGGGAATGCTATTTATAAGTGATTGTATTATATGGGTGATAGAATTTTGTATTCCAACTTGTGAATGAGAACCATAAATATCAATGTTGCATGTTAACTATATTATAAGTTGTTGGATAAGTACAACTTAGAACTTTTTAAATTAGAGGCTAAAATTTTTGTTAGATTCTGTTGTAAACACCAATTAGTTTAATACTTGCACTTAAGTTCAATAAAATACAAACTTTAGTTGTTGAGTAGGCTAGGGATATAATTTGTAAGTATTAAAGAAGATATTAAATGGGTTTTAGGTGAAATCACCTCAGTATAATGTAAGGTAAAGTATATGATTAAATGAAAATGGTACTAGTACGAAGTAAATACAAAAGATTTTCTCACTCAAATTCATAGATGATAGATACTACCACTCACTAAAAATAAAAAATAAAAAAACAAAAAAAGTAGTAGTAGTCATATGGCCCTATCTACTTACTAATATTTTTTTTCTCACACCATAAGATTTATTATAACTCAATCAAGTGGTGGGATTTTTTTTTTTTTAATTTTTTTAATTTTTTTTAATTTTTTTTTTTTTTTTTTTGAGTGGGATCACATATACTCTCTTTGTCCCCAAATCATAATCATCACATTCCTCTTAAAACCCTTGTTTGAAAATAAATCTTTCCAATTCACTTATATGTTACTTTTTTTTTTTTCTCTTAATCAAATTCCACGTACTATTTTTAACTATTTAACTTCTAAATAATCAAATTCCACTATGTTGTTTATTGTATTCACCTTTAGTAAACTAGCCGCAGGCACTATATTTTTTGTAAACGGAGTGAGTAATCTTATTGGGCATGTGTTTATTATATTCACCTTTAGTCAAACGGCCCCAAACACTAAATTTTTTTTAAACAAAGTGAGTAATCTTATTGTGCATGCATTTGCTCCATTTAAAATAATATAGTACACTTTTTATTTTGCTACCTACCAACTTTCACCTTGTGTAAAGTTTATATATATATATTTAATAAGGATGTTAAATTGGTTATTGTTTGTTAATGTTTTGTTCTTTTTTGTTAGGGATCTATTTATGTGTTGATAATAGACAAGTGTTGTAGTGTTCACTTCTCTTGCCGCACTATGGCAAATCCTACCGGGATCGCTTCAAACACAAGGAGGTACTAATAAATTATGATTTTACAATTTTTTATGTCTAATTAATATATATTTGATGTGTGTGTGCTTATATACATGTTTTAATTAAAATTAGCATGCTGTTGAAATACATTACTTATTTTTTAAATAGAATCATCATGTATTTGATCTTTTTCAAATTATGACTACGATTGTTTTGCTATGCTATTTGCATTTGATTTTCAGTGATTACTATATTCATATCAAACTCAATTTTATATTTAAATTTATTGACATTTCATTATATGTAGTGTTTTTTTTTCCTTCTTTCCATAGAGTTTATATTAATTCATTAACTTAGTTTTTAATAATGGAAGTGTTGGGTAGAACCACAGTGCATTCAATTTCTACAGTACATAACCTTACGAGATGATATTCGTCTCATTCATCAGAAACATACTGTTTTAGGAAGGTTGTAGAAGGTTATTACATTGACGTGAATTTGTCAATCCAGAAAGAATAACTGAATATAAGAGCAAACCTCACTTACAATTACTGAAGGATCCATATGAAGACCCCATGATTAATGTTGCCAGATGAGGTTACATAATTTATGTTCATTTCAATTGAAATGCACATTCATTTGAAACATCACTTGAATACATCTCCTGGACAACAAATAAACCAAGAGGCAATGGACAGATCACAGTAGCTGCACTTGCATCCCCACAAAAAAAAATGACATAATACATCAAAATTTAGCAACCCAAATAAATAAATAATTACAACCTAGCTATTGAAAGGTTAAAAAATAGTACTTCCAGATCTAATTTCATGAGTACATAGAATTATAATCTAGGGAAGAAAACATTAGATAATGACTATATTATCCACCATTTTGAGTTTCGACACTTGCGAGAACTGATAAAGGGACTTCTGCCTCTCCTTGAGTGGGGTTGTGCACCCAGTCGGCCGGATTGACCTACCAATAATGACCCCACATGGTTGTCTGGTTCTTGGTCATGGAAGAGCTCTGATATTAGGTTGTCCTACTCTAAACGAATCCAAGGCCGTCATTATTCCATTTCTCATGCTGTAGAAATCTGAGAAGGATGATGGGTCTGTTGGCTCCCTAAACGTAGACTAGAAGACGGCAAGAGAGTGCTACCTCTCAGACGTCAAGCCCACAGTGGCCACAGCCGACCGGGGTGAGGAGCCAATAGACCTTAGCGATGTTAAGGAAGCCGAGCCTGCTCCAACAGCAGCCGGCAAGAAGAGAAAGGTCGACCAGTTGGTGGCCGTGGAAAAAGAGAAGCAATAGCAATCACTAACCGGGGAACGATCAGATGAAATCCGTCCCCAGCCGGTTGGTGAACATGTTGATATTGCTCTGGACGACAGCCGTTCAGAGCGTACTATTAAGGTTGGGGCGGCTGCTCCTGTCAAGCTGGGTGCAGACTTGCACAATTTGTTGAAGGAATTCAAAAACATCTTTGCTTAGTGGAAGAGATGCCAGGCATCAGCCCGGATCTAGCTGTCCACAAGCTCGCCATGGATCTAAAAAAGAAGCCGGTTAGGCAAAAGAAAAGAAACCACGGCGAGGAGAGAAGTCAGGCGGCAGCCACCGAAGTGAAAAAGCTGTTAGACGCCGGGTTCATTCGGCAATGTCACTTCCCAGATTGGGTTGCGAATGTTGTGCTTGTAAAGAAGCCCAATGGTACTTGGCGCATGTGTGTTGATTACACTGACTTGAACAAGACATGTTCGAAGGATAGTTATCCATTTCCAAAGATCGACAGTCTGGTCGACTTTACATCTGGACATGCTTTGATGAGCTTTATGGACGCCTATTCAGGCTTTCACCAATACCCTTATGGAAAAAAGATCAAGAGAGGACGACATTCGTCATTGATCAGGGGTTATTCTGCTATACTGTGATGCCGTTTGGCTTGAAAAATGCGCCTGCTACTTTCCAACGAATGATTAATACAGTCTTCATTAATCAAATTAGAAGGAATGTAGAGGCGTACATTGATGACATGATAGTCAAATCTAAGCTACTGATGGATCATCTTACTGATATCTAAGAAACCTTCACCGCACTCAGGTGGCACAAGGTCATGCTCAATCCCAAGAAGTGTGTCTTTGGTGTTGAGTTTGGGAAGTTTCTCGGATTTTTTATTGATCAACGGGGGATAGAGGCCAACCCAGAGAAGATACAAGTGGTCATTGACATGAAGTCTCTCTGCACTGTTAAAGAAGTTCAGAAGTTAATAGGTTGTCTGGCGGCATTGGGGAGATTCCTCAGTCGGTCAGGTGACAAGTGCCTCTATTTTTTCCAAGCTATTAAAAAGAAGACTAGGTTTGAATGGGGGGATAATGCTGAGGCGGCCTTTTAGAAATGAAAGATCATTTACACTCTTTGCCGAGGCTTGTTAGCCCTTTGCCAAAGGAGGCGCTTTACATGTACTTAGCCGTCTCTAACCATGCTCTCTATGCCATTCTCCTTGCTGAAAGAGACGGCGTCCAGCTCTCGGTCTATTTCATTATCCATGTTCTTCAAAATGCTGAACTATGGTACCCAATGGTAGAAAAATTTGGCCTAACTCTGTTTATGGTAGTCAAGAAGTTGAAGTCTTACTTCTTGGAACATCCGATTGTGGTCTACACATACCGATCCCTCAAGCGGCCAATGACAACTTTGGAGTCATCCGGTAGGATTCTCAAATAGGCTATTGAAATGCAAAGTCTTGAAATCTCTTTCGAAACCAAGAAAGGCAGTGAAGGGTCAGGTGTTTGCCGACTTCATTGTCGAAATGACATGGCCTGCTGAGCCGGAGAATCTTGACAAGGTTTGGAAAATGTATGTTAACGGGAGCTCTACTATGAACGGCTGTGGTGCAGGGGTTATATGTTAGTCCCCTGAAGGGGACAAGTATGAATATGCACTACGTTTCAAGTTTCAAGCCTCACATAACGAGGTGGAATATGAAGCCCTGCTAGCCGGTATACGCATGTGCAAGGCGGCAGGGGCAAGAAAAATAGACGCCTGCTCTAATTCACAATTGGTTGTTAGCTTGTACAATGGTGACTATATGAGGCCACATATCTGGCCATGATCAAATATTTGTAGGCGGTCAAAGAAGAGGCTGGGACACTTGATGAATTTCATTTAATTCAGGTGCCCAGGTTAGATAACAATCAGGCGAATGCTCTCTCTAAGTTGGCAACATCCGCCTCCTGTGATACACCTCGGTTGGTCTTTTGGGAAGTAATGGAAAAGCGAAGTATTGAAGATCTCATTGGACTACTAGACAAGAGTTCAACCTGGATGGATGGCAATCCGGGCCTATCTGTTAGACAACACTTTGTCGGATACATATCTTGAATGATGCAATGAAAAAACATGCGGCCAACTTTGAGATTCATAATGGAGAGCTTTTCAAGAGTGGTTTTTTGCAACCTCTTTTGAAATGCATCACCACAAAAGGGGGCTAAAGATTCTGGAGGATTTGCACTTGGGCTTTTGTGCCTCCCATATAGGCAGCAGGTCTCTAGCAAGAAGGGTTAGGCGGCAAGGCTACTTCTGGCCCACTCTTGAAGCAGACGCCGTTAAAATGGTGAAGAAGTGTGATAAGTGTCAAAGATTCAGCTAACTCATACACCGTCCGACCACTGATCTAACGGCCATTCACAACCCAGTACCATTCGCCAAATGGGGCATAGACATTCTGGGTCTGTATGCGCCTGCTCAAGGTGGACGACGGTATTTTTTAGTCGCCGTTGACTACTTCACGAAGTGGGTAGAGGCAGAGGCAAACAAAGGATTTAAGACCAAGGATGTCATCTCCTTCATCTAGAAGAATATCATCACCTGGTTTGGGGTACATATGTCTATGGTCTTTGAAAATGGCCCTTAGTTTGAGACGTCTACCCACAAAAATTGGCTAGGGGACCAAGGGATCTCCCATTGTTTTGCGTCAGTCAATCGTCCCCAAGCAAATGGCTAGGTTGAAGCCTTCAACAAGCTAATCTCAGACGACATTAAAAAGAAAATTGAAAGAGCAGGCGGTCTATGGGCGGATGAGTTGGCTCATGTCCTTTGGGCCATCAGAACAACAGCAAAAAGGGCAACCGGTGAAACCCCATTTCTCATGGCATACCGCGCAGAAGCTGTCTTGCCCATTGAACACTATGAGCCGACTCTTCGAGTCATATTGTAAGACGTAGAGGCTAATTAGGAGGCCATGCGACTAGCATTGGACTCACTCCCGGAGCGCAGGGGCAATGCCGCCTTGCGTCATGAGATTTACCGTTTGAGAATGACAAGAGCCTACAATAAAAGGGTACATAAGTGGCCCTTGAACGTAGGGGACTTTGTGTTACAAAAAATGGAGGCAACCGGTAAGGCCAATGAGAAAGGAAAGTTGACTCCCAATTGGGAAGGCCCCTATCGGATCTATGAAGAAGTGAGAGGCGGCACCTACCACCCGAAAACTCCAGACGGTAGGAAGCTAGCCAGGACTTGGAATGTAGACAATCTAAAGATGGGCTACTTCTAAGACTTGTAAAGTTTTTGTAAATAAGAAGCCCATCAATGAAAAGTTGCTTTTTATTTTCAACTTTGTTTATTTATTGCTTTAACTATATACATCTCCCAATGGGAATATCGTCTATGCAATGTGCAGACAGCCTTATTAAAACCCATTGTCGGCTCCAACATGAGTAGACATCCGGCGACGCCCATTCGGGTGAATTCGTCGCAGAAAGCATCTCCCATCCGGGTGGTACATTGATCTATAAACTTATTGCAGATGGCAGAGATTGATTAGCCCAATGAGGCGCCCTCATAGCCGTTTCACAAAAGCAATCTAAAGGAAACCTAAACGGTATACTAAAACCGCATGGCCGCAGACTCAGCTGGTAGCCTATCGTTAATCCAACTTAGATTGCGTTAAGAATCATATGCTTATAGTCCTCCCAATGGGGCAGAAAGGTGCCTGAGTACGTGAATGGGTTAAAAATACACTAGACGGTTAAAACGTTCCTAGTTCAATAGACTAGGCAATCTCCGAAGACTGCTTGGGTTCCGGGCTCAACCCGCCTAAATCTTGGACGGCTATATACTTGGTTCGGGGGAATCACGGTTGTGAT